CAGCTTCCAACCCTTTTTCCCAAATGGATATCCCACAAAGATGCACTTTCGACTCTTTCTAGCAAATTTATCACCTTTTGTATTTTGATTGTGAGCAAAGCAAAGACACCCAAAAACACGAATTGCGTTGTAAGATGGAGGACTACCAAAAAGAATTTCATAGGGAGTTTTGTTATCAAGCAACGGTGTTGGTGTCCGATTTATCAGATCTGTGGCTGCAAGAACACATTCTCCCCAAAAATAAATTGTCAAATTAGCTTGGAATCTCAAAGCTCTCGCTACATTGAGAATATGTTTATGTTTCCGTTCAACCCTACCATTTTGTTGAGGGGTTCCCACACAGGAAGTTTGAAATAGAATTCCAGTAGCAAAAATCACGCAAGCAATTGAATTCAGTACCGTTGTCACTCTGAACGACTTTGATTGATTGAGAGAATTGTCTATCAATCATAGCCACAAAACACAAAAACATTTTGAGAATCTCAGTTTTATCCATCAACAAATAAATCCAAACTACTCGCGAATAATCATCGATTATAGTCAAGAAATAACATGTACCACAACAGGATTGATGTTTGTAAGGACCCCACAAATCACAATGTATTTTCTCAAATATTCGAGATACTCTATTATTACTCAAAGAAAACTATCTCTAGGTTGCTTAGAACGAAAGCAAACCTCACAAGCTTTATTACACCACAGCAGTGCCAACAGACTGAAGTAATTTTACCACTTTTTCAGATGGATGAACCATTCGTTGTTGCTAAGACTGATTGAAGTTGTCACCCCATTTACTATAAGATGTTGCACTGAATCGATTCCATTGAAGTAGTAAAATCCATCCCGTCTAACACCTGTTCCAATCAGTTCCCCCGATTGGTCCTGTATAGCACACATATAAGAGTTAAAGTGGACATTGCTCTGCATATCATCATTTAACTGAGAAACAGAAATAAGATTGCAACTTAAATACGGAACATAAAGAACATGACTAAGAACAATTTTGTTCGTTAATCGAACCGAGCCCTCTCGAGTTGCAACCACTGTTTTTCCGTTGGGTAAACGAACAACGCAATGAAATATATCTTTTGCATCAGTCATTCGAGTGGAATCACCAGTAACGTGACGAGAAGCCCCTATGTCAAATATCCACAACCGTGGATCAAATTTATGATTCAATTGATCATCAAAAACCGTTGTACCACTAATCAGTCATGTTAATGCTTGCGGGTGCTCGTTGTCAGCCATTGATGAGTTTATGCGCACGTATAAACCTTAGCGACTGATACGGTGTAGAATACAAACAAATAAGAAGAAGAGGAAAAACTAATATATTATGTCGTGGCTCTAAACCTCAATTCAAACACGGTATATATAGTGCTATGAAGTAAGAAAACAAAGAGATGGAAAACAAAGAGTATAATTTTAGTAGGTTAATTATTATAGGTATTAGTAAATAAATATAAATAGGTCCAATGTATATGAAGATGAGCAAACAGAGAAATATATTGTTATTCTAATCTTTTAGTTATTTTTCTTGTAGCCCTCACATGCTGGAATTGTGAAATTAGAGTTTGCCGTAATGCGAATACGGTTAGGAGCTAAAAGCATGCTCGAAAGGTTTCCTATCCGTTATGGTTCTATCTAGGGTCGTAACAATTGGTACTTTCATTGATTCTATTGGTGAGAGTCTTCCCTATCTTTTTCATTTTATTTTTATTTCATTTTTTTTGGCAGCATCCCTTAGATAATTTTTTTTTTTTTAAATACAGTGGGAATTTTTTTTATTTAAAAAAGCTATAAAGAGAGAGAGAGAGAGAGAGAGAGAGAGAGAGAGAGAGAGAGAGAGTGAGTGAAAAGGAGTGAAAACACAGCAAAAAAAATTATGTTTTTATTTTTATTATGGAAAATATTACTCATCGGTACTTATTAGTTTCTATACACCCAAGCTTCATGAGACAAGAAGTTAGCATTCAAAAGAGTGTAAGGAATGAAATTTGTCAAGAGCTTCAACTCGGACTGAGTATTGAAATATTGTGGAGAGGAAAATTTCAATTTTGGTCCTATGACTATAGGGGTTTTCTTAATTTTCGTTTCCGACTTTTAAAAGTGTCAATTTAGTACCTTGATTATGCAATTTTGGTCACTCCGGCCAAATTACCGGGCAAATTTCGCCAAAAATTTTTATAGTTAAAATAATGAAGGTATTTTAGTCTTTTTGCATCTCTTTATTTCTCCCCCCATTTCTTCACCGGATTTGCTTCAAATTGCTTGCGGAGTTTATAAACCAGAAACCCTTCATGTATTACACACGATTTCATTGTAAAAACCTTGAATTTTCACTATTTGAAGCAAATCGACGCCGGTGAGTGTTTTCTCCGCGAAATTTGCAGCAGATCTGAAAAAATGGGGGAGAAAGAAAAGCTAGGCAAAAAGACTAAAATACCCTCATTATTTTAAATATAAAAATTTTCTAGCGAGATTTGACCGGAGTGACCAAAATTGATAAAAATTGCATAGTCAAGATACTAAATTAATACATTTGAAAGTCGGGGACTGAAATTAACAAAACCCTTACCGGGCGTTTGGTTGGAAGGATTTTAAATTACCTTCCCACATAATTCCCACCTAATTCCAAAGACCATTAAATTCCGTAGTTTGGTTGGAAGGAATTGTAATTCCATGGAATTGCAATTCCCCCATTTTCATGGAATTAAAATCCCATGTCCCCCCTGGTATTTTAATTCCTGGGATTTTAAGAAGAAAAAAAGATAGTGATGAGTCAAATTACCCCTTCCTTTTTTAACCTAAAATTAATGCCTAACAACAACAATGGACATTTTTGACTTTATACTACTTATTCCCTTTCAATTCTCATGTATACCAAACATTGGAATTGAAATTCCCAGTTATTCTATTCCTGTAAACCAAACACTGGAATTTAAATTCCCACTTTATTCCCAATAATTCATCTCTCATGGAATTACAATTCCTTTCCCACATAATTCCCTCACTCCAACCAAACGCCCTGTTATAGTCATATAGGACCAAAATTGAAATTTCCTTTATTGCGGACTAATACTTATCCAAGGACAAGGTTTTGAATGCTTAAATTCCCCAATGAGAGATTTTAACGTCCACCTCAACAAGATTTTTGCAAGAATTCAATAGCCATTTCCTCCATATGCCGATGCTTCAGTGTCTTCAAAAATTCCTCTGCTGACCACAACATAACCAACTTCTTCACATGAATCTATCTCAAAGTCTTCCAAAAAAATTCTGAAATATAGAAAGCAAGCTTTCAAGTGTAATTGGTTGTAACTCAAAGATAGAATTTTTGAACATGCTTCATAAGAATCATCAATTACTGATCTACTTATATTTTTTGCAACTCTCTTCCACTCCACCTTCTCCTCTATTTTGGAGAGAATACTAGCTACTACAATAATAGCTAGAGGTAATCCTTTACATTTCTTCGCTATCTCTACCAATTTTCTGAAACACCTAAAGAAATTCCGTTAAACACTTTGCAGTAGAGATTCCAACTTTCATTAACATCTAAAAAGGCACGTGTTGAGGGGAAACTTACCTGGGCTAGGATATTCGGCCACCTCTAGCTCTGAGATGAGAAGTTAGCATTATACGGCTTCCACACTATCCCAAACGGTAGTGTTCCATATATCATCAATCACTATCAAATATCTCTTACCCTTCAAACATTTATACAAACTTTCTGCTGATGTTCGTGGAGTTAATCTCTTGATGCTGCTGCTGCAATAACACAACCAATAAGACATCGGAGCATTTGTTCCTAGTTAAACTCTTGGGATACAGTAACCCATGCAGCTCGCTTGTCAAAATGAGAAATAACTGATGAATCTTCATAAACTTTGTGTGCTAAAATGGTTTTGCCTATTCCTCCCATGCCAATAATTGATACAACTAGCTTGTCTCCTCTTAGTTGATTGTGGCGTGAGCTGATCCAATATAGTCATGAAAACCTCTTTGTGACATCCGACCATTCTACTACTGTCGTCAAACTTTGAAGCGGTTTTGGAAAATTAACTAACAATAATAATGTTCTTGTGTGGTAGATAAGGCTGTGATAATCCTCCTTTCACATCAGTGATTCTTTGGTTTTGTTATGAAGCCTTTGGATGCTGCTGCTGGTATTCACTTTTAATACTGTTCTAATAGCAAAGCAATCTCAACAATGACATTTTTGTGGATTTTTAAATTGTATTTTTAATAGCAAAGCAACCAAGAAAAGAAAAATTCATAAAGATTTATCAGTGACATAAAAAATCCCAAAAGTGCTATCTGCTGCAACCAAACAGAGCATCACTCATTCACTTGGATGCCATAATTGAAAAACATTATATAGACATCAACATTGCAAGTTCAAATTTAGAGATTACAAGGAATTATCAGTGACAACAAATATATTAATGTATCACTATCAGTGCATACCAAAAATCCCTTAGGATTTATACAGATTGAAACAGCCCAAAGTGCTATCTGCTGCAACCAAAAAGAGCTTTACTCATTCAAATGGTTCGATGTATTTTGCTATTTTTCATTTTTCGTTTTTAATTTTTTTGAGAAGCAGAAGCCATTTCAGTTTACCAAAATATATAAACATCCCTCTCTTCCTCCACATCCCATTCTAGCTTCCTCTTTGTTGTTTACACGTTCCGTCTGGAATCGATAAATTAAGTAAAAAAGAAAAGGTGAACACACTGCAGTTAGATAGGTAAGGAAATACAAGATAGAAGTGAGAGGAAACAGATCAGATCAGACATATCACCACTTGCACGTACGAATAATAAAACTTTGCATATTCCAAATTTTATCTCTGAGAAGCAGAAACCATTGCAGTTTACTAATAAAATATAGAATAGTATGCTTTGCAACAGTGTATTCTGCCAATTCAAATACCTACCTGCCTAATCCACCAAAGCATCCACAATAAACAAATGCAAAAACCATTATGCACTCATTCATTCATCACTCTCTTCCTCCTCATCCCTTCTTCCCTGCAATTGATAAATTAAGTAAAAATGAAAAAAGGTGAGATAGAAGTGAGAGGAAACAGATCAGATATGATGGCCATGAAGAATTCATGTAGCATGAAGTAAGCGCATGTTAAATGGTCACATATATAATATATTAGAGGGATAGAAAGAGACCACAATATTTTCCGAACGAACAACGACGACATTTCCATAGTTGTTGTATTGCTCTTCTTGAATCAACTTTGCGGAAGCCAGAACGGAATACCAACACCAGTTTAACTGAATCAGTGCTAGTGTGGTGATATCCGCAAAATCACTAGGAATCTCTTGCAAATAATTGCAATTATGTAACTCTAAACATTCTAGCACAGGGAAATTGTCACCTACAGCATTCCAACGCTCGAAATACATATCTTTAATTACCAATCTTTTCAATTGACGGAACCCTTCCTTGGATGGCTCCCATATTCTAGCAGATATATGAAAAGCTTGTTTCAGTTTTAGAACCTCTAGATTCGGCAACATACCAATAAGCCTCATATCACTCCATGCAAAATTAGTCTGGTAGAATTTGAGCTTCTTAAGATTTGGTAGAAAACTAGTTGCCCATGAGATGCCGCTACATGGAATACGGTTGAGATTACGCCACTCTCTGATGCTTAGCTCCTCAAGCTGCCTCAAGTGCACAAAATTATAAAAACAATCTAGATTCTTTCCATTGTGTTCACCATGGATCCCCAATTTTTTTAAATTTGGAATCCTTGTAAATAGATCCTCTGTACAGATGTTAGGAGGCAACCAAGATATACTCTCTAAGTTTCTATGAACAACTGACAAAGTTTCTAATGAAACAATCAGTTCAATGCATAAATTCCTTAATAGTGGCATTTTCCAAACTCCAGATGCCCCAAAGCAATCAAATGCAGCATGAGCTCCACGAACAATAAAGCTTTGCATATTCCAATGCTCAAAGAGCTCTAAATGAAAATTTATGGGGTAATAACTTGCTGAATACTCCAAAGCTAAGTATCTCAAATGAATAAGATTTGCAAGCACATTTTGTAACCCATATACATAGGAAGAGATACATGCTATGTCTACTACTCTTAGTAGTTTGAAGTGTGAAAATAGACCTTCCACACTTGCAGAAAAAGCAACATAGGGAGAGTGTAAGGAATGTGATTTGTAAATGTATGTCAAAAGATGAAAGCCTGATGTAGTAGATATCCAACGATAAGAGATTTTCTTCTTGTAAAATGGTAGTTTTTCATCTCCAATGACATTCAAGAGATTTTCATGTCGAGCTTCTCTCAAACACAAATCCCGCAACAGGTCATGTATTCTTATTGTCTTCATTTTCCCATTGTAGCTTTCTTTGCTAACAAAAACAAGACTTCTATCTACAAGATCTTGCAAGCATTCCATGGCCACTTCCTCCATATTTCGATGGTCCACTACCCTCAAAAATCCCTCTGCTGCCCACAACTTAACCAACTTCTTCACATGGATCTCATAATCTTCGGAGAAAACTCCAAAATATAGAAAACAAGCTTTTAAGTGATGTGGTAATTGATTGTAACTCAAATATAATATTTTGGAACATGCATCATTAGATTCACCAATTACATATCTACTCAAGTTTTCTGCAATATTTTTCCACTTCTCGACTGTCGCTTCTGTCTTGGAGAGAAGACTTGCTACTACAATAATAGCTAGAGGTAATCCTTCACATTTGTTCACTATGTCTCTACCAATTTGCTCAAACTCCGGAAGAAATTTCGTTATACCAAACACATTGCAGAAGAGAATCCAACTTTTATTTGCATCTAAGAAAGGCATATTAATGGTAGAGTTACCTGAACTTACATATTCAGCCACCTCCCTGAGCCGAGAAGTCAATAGTATACGACTTCCATTATTATCATCTGGAAAGCATCTTTGCAGACTATCCCAAGCAGTAGTGCTCCATATATCATCTATCACTATCAAATATCTCTGATCCTTCAAGTGTTTACGCAGACTTTCTGCCAAGTTGCCATTTGATGGTGCATTAACACAACCAATAAGGCATTGGAGCATTTGTTCCTCGTTAGACTCTTGAGATACAGTAACCCATGCTTGTTTGTCAAAATGAAAACTAATTGATGGATCTTCATAGACTTTGTGAGCTAAAGTGGTCTTGCCTATTCCGCCCATGCCTACAATTGATACAACTTGTAGCTGCTTTGCTGATTGTTGGGTGAGCTGATCTATTATCGTCTTGAACTCCTCGTTGCATCCGACCATACTATTGTCAAACTTTGTTGAAGCTTTTTTGGAAAATTTACTCACAATAATATTATTCTCGCGTTCTAGATCAGGCTGTGATGATGTTGAACCATGGAGTAGTCCTCTTTGTCGCATCCTTTCATCTTGTAATGGACCCTTTGCAAGCTGCTTTTCACTTTTAATCTTAATCAACTTCTTCTTGAGGTAATCAGTCTGTATTACAGCTTGAATGAAGATTCCATGAAGCTTGAGGAGGCAAGCCTTTATACGAAGACGCTTCGTCCAACCCTTTGCTAGATGAATGGTAGTCAACTCCATCTCAATCCTTTCTTCAGCTTTGAACGCTACATCTCTCATCTGAGCCTCTAAATCTTTCATCGCCGAATTATCATAGCCATAGGCGATCTCAGATTTCTCAAGAACTTCTTTGAGGAAACCAAGATTTTCATGAAGAGAAACTATTTGTTGTTTGTATTGAAGAGGCAAGCGTGGTTGTGATTGCAAGAAATGTAGAGAAAGTGTTTCCATAAGCGAAGTTACAGCAGCATAAGCCATTTGCGTCTGTCTAAGAGGTAAGATGATCAGAGCCGTATTAAGAAGAAATGAAAGATGGATGTGATACAATTTAGACAGCAATTCTGATCTTGTCAACGCTAAAGTCTAAACAACCATGATTTTAAAATTAGTTGGGTAGTTGGTTAGTCTTTATTATTATTATTATTATTTTTTGTTTATTCGAAGGCTTATTGTGAAAAGAATCCAAACTTCACAAATATATCAAAAAATTTAAGTTTTGATAATTTAATACTCTGTATGAAATATTCGTATCCTATAACAATTATGTCCAATTATTTTAATTAAGGAAAAATGAAATTTTAGCTCCTTAATTTTTCCATAATAACGGTTTTAGTCCCTAACTTTTTGTTGTTTCAATAGACACCCCTAACTCTTCAAAAGTGTTGCAGTTTGAACTCTAGAACAACAAAACTAAACTCTATTAAAATTATACTTTGTACATGAGACGAAATTGTTTAATGTTAAGTGGGAATCTTATAGCTCAAATCTCTGTCTTACATTCTTTATTTTTGTAAGTGTACAAATGATACACATTTATATCCAAATATATTGGTCATATTATTTGACAAAACTTAGTATTTATTTATGAATTAATATTTGATGCACCGTCGGTGTATAGATACTATACACCGGCGGTGAAGGAGATGATGCCACATCATTAAATAAAAAAATCAATATTGATGGGTCCTTTTTTACAATATTTAAGATTTGTATTTTATTAGGAAACTCTTTATTTCTAACTAACAAAATATATCTACTTTCCTAAACATATTTATTACTTAATTATTTTCTATCTAATTCCATTGCATTTTTAATTATTAGATATATTATTAATTAAATTGACATATGATGATTATTTTATATTAAATATATATTAATCCACGTACTGTGAATGAACTAATCAAGTATATATTGTTCCCAAACATTAATCGCCCTGCTACATTGGCGCCTTGTAATTATTATTTTTTTAATTTTATTTAATTACTAAGCCATATGGAAATAAAACAGTTGTTCAACTCTTCTAATTTTTATTAATCAATGAATCTTATGAACGTATTTTTTAATCTATGAACATTATGAACGTATTTTTTAATCTAGATCAAAAATATCAATTTTAATTTATAAACATTATAATTGTATTTTTTTTATCTAAGATTAAAATTGATATTTTTGATACGTAGTATTATTTTAAATGTTGTACTAAATAAATAAAACAACAACACCATATTAATAAAGATTAAAAGAGTTGTACTAGTGTTTTATTTTCAAATCGTTTAGTACTTTTTTGAGTGGAAAATCGTTTAGTACTTAAATAAAATAAAATAAAAATTAATTACAATGCGAGAATGTAGCTGGGTGATTAATGTTTCGAAACAATATATACTTCATTAGTTCATTCACCGACTCACCGTACACGTGATTAGTATACATTTAACATAATAATCACCATTTGTCAATTTAATTAATAATGTATTTAAAAATTAAAAATGCAATAGGAATTAGATAGAAAATAATTAAGTAATAAATATGTTAGAAGAATGGATATATTTTGTTAGTTAGAAATAAATAGTTTCCTAATAAAATACAAGTCTTAAATATTGCAAAAAAGGACCCGATCAATATTGATTTTTTTATTTAATGATGTGGCATCTTCTCCTTCACCGCTATGTATAGCATTTGATTAATTTTGAGTACTTCGTATGTCGTTTGATGAATTTGATTAAATTTTTCGATGAATTAAGTATTTTGATGAATTAGATTGATTTGGATGAGTTAGATGTTAAAGATATGTGTGGCTGATATCTTTTGTTATTATATTTAGTCCTAGTCTAGCTCCTGTATAATAGTTATTAGGCTAGTTGTTGTAACTGGTAGCTATCTTTTCTCATTTGTAAAGCTATTTATAGCTGCTTGTGGTTTCATCAATAAATCACTTGTTCATAATCTTCACATGGTATCCAGAGCCTAAAATCTCCTACGAAAGAAACTTTTTTTTCTCTAGATATATGTTCTTTGATTATAAACTATGTATTTTGATGAATTAATTGTCTTGGTTACGAATTAGGTTCTTTGATTACGGTATAGGTAATTTGAAATATCGTTTCTAAAGGAGGAAGATTTTATAATGTGCATGTGTTGTGATTGTAAAAATTTGAGAAGATATCGTAGTTCTATGGAAGTGAAGATCCATTTGATACACCATGACTTTAAGGAAGGGTACGACCAATGGATATGTCATGGTGAAAGCTTACCTCCTAGTACAAGTATTAGTAAGAATGAAGCTTATGTAGACAATGAAACTCAAGCAAATAGTCAAACTCACGCAGATAACGAGGAGAATAATATAATGAAACCACTACAAGAAAAATGCACATAGACAACACTAGAAAGACAATAATTTTTAATAAAAGTGTTGTCTTTTGTATAAAAGACAACAGTTGTTGGGAAAATGCAAGTCAATGGATAATTTTGTTGTCCTCATTACCCTGGTGATTTAGTCTTGATTAATATTCACCACAAGTTTGGTGAGTGGTCAATATTTGTTAGTTATTAAGTGGCCATAATCATTTGGCTTCTACTATTTAAATGGGGTATTCTTGAGTTTAGACAGACAGACAAACATTGTCTTGTTAACTTTATTATCCCCTTTCAACTCTGAGAATGTTGTGTATGTTCCAATCCCTGCTCCGGGTGCACGGAAACGGGGATTGTTGTGTTAACCTTTGGGGGCGACGCCGTTGTTGCGAGCCTGCACCGGTAGCGGCGAATTCGCTTCTATGGCAATGGTTATACCACGGCACAACAGTTATTGAGTTTTCACTTTATCAGCCTATTTTTTTCCAACAATATAGAAGCGAATTGATGTTGATAACAGTGAATGACAAAAGGAAAAAAAAAATCGAGAAAATTGGAAGATGTTTTTGTCACAGATTCATGCCGAAAAGACGTTGCCACTGTTGGGATTGAGCTTCCCTCCTATGTGGTAAATAGCTCATTTTGGACCAAGCCAATTTTTATATTCACTATAATATTTAATAGATTCTTGAGAAAGTGTTTCTGACAATTATTTAATTGTCATGGGAGAATGGGATATGGGTGGAAGTTGAAGGGTGGAAGTCGGAGAGAAAGAGTTTGGGGAGAAGTTTGGGCAAAAGTATGAGAGGAAGTTTAAGAGAAAAGCTGAAATTCAACTTGCCCATTTCTTCCCGCATGTCGGCAACAACAATTATAAAAAGGAAATGCTATGCTCATTCTTCAAGTGAGAGAATTCCACATCTTCCACAAGCTTCCACATAATTCCATTTCGACAGTATTGAAAGAGAAAGAAGAAAAATCTTATTTTTCTTATCTCTTCAATTCGGCAGAGGCATCAAAAGAAAAGAAAAAAATCAATTTTCTTTCTTCCTTCTTCACGGCAGTTCGGGCAGCAACGGCGGAAGGTTTACCTTGCTCTTTGGTATTATCTTCATCAAATATTTTGAGGTCAGCTTGTATTTATTCCAGGCATCTTTTGGGTAATCTCGTAATATTTGTATTATGTTCACTTTGCTCGTGGTGGTTGAATATTTTGGGTACGAGATATTATTCCTTTAGCCTGTGAATTAGAATATATGTATTTGGCATAGTGTTGGTGTATTTGATGATTTTGGATGTTTGGCTCGTGTGGTAGCCAGGAACTTTGTACCCAAGATTTATTATAGTGGAATACTATGGTGGTGGCGGTCCCGTGGTTTTGGGGTTTTCCACGTAAATCGTGTGTCCCTTGTATATGTTATTTATTTTGGTTATTTTGTACTATCTCGAATTTGCGCTCCTGTCGGGTCTGTGATTTTTGATTGTCACAGGTATTCGGATTTTTCCCAACAAAGTGGTGTTAGAGCCCTGGTTGTTGATCGGGTATATTTGACATGGAGGCAAATACAATTAATATGGTACGATTGAACGGTAGAAATTTTCACATTTGGAAGCCCAAGATGAAAGATCTCCTGTTTGTGAAGAAATTACATCTACCTGTGTTTGCAACTGCAAGGCCAGAAAATAAGTCAGATGAGGAATGGGACTTTGAGCACCAACAAGTGTGTGGTTATATTTGAAAATGGGTCGAAGACAATGTTCTGAATCACATTGCCAATGAGACACATGCTAGGAGCCTATGGGATAAACTTGAGACCCTGTATGCTTCCAAGACAGGCAACAACAAGCTGTTCTTGTTAAAGCAGCTGATGAATCTGAGATACAGGGAAGGTACATTGATTAATGATCATGTTAATGATTTTCAGGGTGTTCTTGATCAGTTGTCTAGCATGGGCATCAAATTTGAGGATGAGGTACTTGGTCTCTGGTTGCTTAATACTCTACCTGATTCTTGGGAAACATTTTGGGTTTCTTTGACCAACTCTGCTCCCAACGGTGTTTTGACTATGGAGAATGTCAAGATTGGTATCTTGAATGAAGAATCAAGAAGAAGATCTCAAGACACCTCCACTTCTCAGTCAGATATTTTGGTTACAGATGATAGGGGGAGAAACGAGCAAAGGGGTCAGAAGGGTAGATATAAAAGCAGAAGCAAGTCAAGGTCAAGGCACAAGGATCTTGAATGTTATCATTGTGGCAAGAAAGGGCACATTGATGAGGAAGTTTTTCACGCATCCATCAAGTATCAAATTACAGTACAGTGTTAAGATATCGTTCCACTGGAGATGGCTCTTGTAATGTTAGGAATTGATGCAAAGCGGAGTTAAGCACAAGCTAGAACTATTCTTTTAGAAGCTAGACCTATCGATAAGGAGTTGGTTTGATATGATTAGGCTAATAACAAATAGAACAAGTAAAACAAAGGACCGGGATTTGGTTGATTCAAGCTAAGATGCCAAATATAGTACTAAGGATTAGGGAATTAAAACAAGGCATAGGGCAAGTGAGATGCACAAAAGTGTCCAAATACCAATCTCGTAGCTATTTAGACTTGCAACCTCACCTTAAACTCCA